GACGAATTCTTTTTTTTTTTTTGGTACAACAATGGTGGTGTATAGTTGGTGTCGCGCGCGCCATGCGCCGCTCCCCTCCCGAGACACGAACCATGGAAAAGTGCCAGGACGCTCAGCAGCGCGTGATAAACCAAATAATTTATTAATTTAAACTATTAAACTATCGAATTAAAAGAAAAGAAAAATGAATTGCGCGAGACACACGGAAAGGGAGAATACGGTGGCCAGGTGGCAAAACGCGAAACGTTCTGAACCAGTTTCGCGGACACTTGATATATAATGAAATAGGCGTGTCTACGCGATCAGGAAGACGGAGAACGAATTTGGGAGTGAAAAGTGCATGGGAGGACGCTGTCTGTTTTCTTTGTTTCCGCGCTCTCCGGCGGTACGTGTCGCGATCTATGGACCGTGGACGATGATGGGTGGATCGAGTCACGAAGCACATTCGAGAAAGTGATATCTCGAGGTGTGTTGCCACCGGGAACGGGGGAAACATGGAGAGTTGCGTGCTTCTTTGAGATTCATCTCTATACCTAAAAACGGAAGCTTACCTACCCATCTACCTACACCTTACCACCTTATCGACAAAACTGTGAGAACAACAGCAAACAAGAAGGAGAGCTATCTGGTCTAGACGATCTTGAGAGATAGCGTGTCGATTCCCTTTTATAATAAAGGAAACAAGAAGAATAAAAGGGGAACAGCAAAGGTGAGGAAAAGAAGTGGAAGAAGGAGAGGAGGATTGAATGTTACAGAAAAAATTGAGTAATCTATCTTACATGTGATAATCATGGAAATCGCGCATCCTGTACAGTACTCCACCTCATTCATCGATCATCTACTCTACTATAATTATTGAATATTATTACAAGTAATTAATATTATTGTAACATGTGTAAGGTATAATAATCGTAAAAAAGAAACGTTATCATCTTGTGTATGTGCGCGTAGGGAAAGAAAAAAAAGACGAGCGTACGAATGTGAGAGAAAGAGAGAAACATAGAGCGCAAGGGAGAGAGAGAAAGAGTATGCGTGCATGAAATCGACCAGGAACAAACACAAAAAAAAAAACAAGCGATAATAAGAGCAACAGAAACGAACGAATGGAACGTGAGCGTGCTTGTGCAAGTGAGTCGGGGCAAAAATCGCAACAAAAGTATAATAAAAAACGTAAAAACACGAAGACGCGGACAAAAGATATATGTATAGAAGGAGGAAGGTTGAAGCGAAGAAAAATCGAGGAAAGAAAGAAGGAAAAGGTAAAAACAAACGGCTTTTTAGATCGGGTGACTGTGTCTTCAGTCGGGAAAGCGCGCATTTTAAAACGGTTTTAAATAGTAGAAAATGAAAAAAAAAGACGATGTTTCATTCAGAACATGTATATGAGACTGACCCGGCCCGTCGCGGCCTCCAGAGTTTGCAATCAACCGTACGTAGTACCTTTGTAAGCCGTAAAACGTATCGTGCCTCTCGTCTCCATCGGATAAACGAGTTTTAAATCAACCATCTCTCTTTAATTTCCGTTGTCAACCTCAGAATTCGGGTCGCGTCCAGTTGTTTCTCCTTATCGCGAAACAACTTGCGAGAAAGCATCTAAACAGTCGTGTTGTTCACCCCGCGAGAAAAAAAAAGAAACGGGAAGAAAGAGATATGGGACAAAAAAAGACATGCGACGGAGCGTGCTCGCACGTGTTGTCGCGTGTCGTTGCAAGACAGTGATGGATTAAAGAAAATACATAGACAGATAAATATATAGAGGAATAAATACAGCCATAGAAAAGACACGTTTACAGAGAGACGGAGAGGAGAGGCGGAGAACGCGTATGACGATAGGAGAGCGTGTGAGATGCGTGTGTGTGCGTGAGCAAGAAGTAGAGAGTCAGAGAATACGAAGAGTGACAAAGAAAGATAGAAAACGACGAGAGGAAAGAAAGAAACGAGAAGAAATGCGGAGGAAAGCGAAGTCGCGTGGTGTAGTAATTCGGCGTTAAAGAAACCATACAAAGTAACAACGGCGCAGTGTAAATAGTAGATTCGTAAGGCTAAGTCCTAGAAAGGCGCGAGTGGACGAGTTTTTTGCTTTTTTTTTTTCGAGAAAAACGAAATGCTCGGTGAGAAAGGAAAGAAAGCGAGAGCGAGAAAGAAATATGTAGGGGAAAATATAGAGCGAACAAGCGTGTAAAAGAGATGAAAAAACATACAGTGCGAAGTTATATACGCGGCGGGTCGCCCCCGACGTGTTGTTGAGACGCCCGCCCCACCCCCCTTATGCCCCCCGTAGTACAGTTGACACCGAGAAGTATCATATCGGTGCAGGAGAGAGATAAGGCATAGAACACAATGAAAAAAAAACCATAATGGAATGTAAAACAGTGAATCGTGGCGAGAAAAACGCAGCAACAACAACAACAACCTAGAGAAAATACACGAAGAAACACACGCTTTGATGTAACAAAACCACATAAAACATATATACACACGCGTATAGACACGGAGCAAAAAAAAAAACGCATAGGTCAGCTCGAAACACGAACAACGCGAGAAAGAGAAACGATAACATCATACACGCGAGTAAAACAAGAGTAAGAAAGAGGAAGGAAGTGATAGGATGCAAAATGGTAGGGCAAAAAGTGACGCGAAAAAAAAAGAATTGCTCGATGGGCACGCATAAAAACCGTTGTCTCGCTACTTTTTTTGAGCGCAGCACCGTTCGAATCCCCTCGATCCACACACGCAGACAAATTCACACACGTTTACACACAACCTTGAAGAAGCTTCGTAGTGAAACCACTCTGTGTATTTATTGTACTCGAGGACAAAGTCATTCCCTCCCCCTTTTACGCTGTGTATCACAAAGCGCAACACACATAACACACACGAACATACACGTACACCACGCTCCCTCGACTCGTTTTTTGACCCTTGAATCCTTCTTGCTGTCACCTATCGATAACCTCTACGAAACGAACATCCCCTTGTTTCCTTCCTGCAGCATATTAGCCAGTCCCCGCTTAGAGAGCAATCCAGCCATGTGAACAGTTGTCCATCCGTATCGTCGTAGCCATGTCAAGCGTACATTTACGTGTACACTGGCTGCGATTTTTCCATATCTCAAGCTATTATCCACAGATCGATGCTATCGTCTCTTCAGCAAATCCCCCAGTTCGTCCAAGTATAATTGTCCTTTCCATGTCCAAGTTTCCCAACGAGTTCTCTCACAATCCTTGTCCTCAATACCCTGGATATGTCCCCGCAAGCGAACTAGCGTTGATATTCGTAATACTTGTTATGCATAAACTACACATAATGATTATTATAGTAAACGATACATAAAGTATGATATATTTCTCTATCCATTAAGAAAAGGAGGATGCAAGCAGCTGTTGTTTCTTGGTGGAAACTTGATATGAGAGAGAGAGAGAGAAAGAAAGAAAGAGAGAGAGAGAGAGCGAGAGAGAAACAGTGCAAGGCAGAGCGCAAAACAACAAAGATATAGGGATGAAGAGAAAACGTAAAAAAAAATCATAATAATAATAATAAACGATAATATTGAATGGTGGAATGAATAAAAAATAAGAAAAAAACATTGTACGGAAAAAATGAACATACCGAAAGTGTACTGTATTACAATTGCAAGAATACAAACGCAGCCCCGCATATTGCCCAGTGAGCACGTCGTTTTGTACGCTTGGGAGTTGTGAGGTCGTCTGAATAAACATTGTCTGGTGAATTATACAGAATATCTTGTCTATTATTTATGCGTTTAATCCTTATCCTGAAAAATCCACCTTTTCGTTCATGGCTACTTTTCGGAGGAATCGCTTCCTCGTTTTTCAAATTTTTGTTTCTACGAAAATAATGATCTCTTCTGGTTTGAAACTATAGAAGTTTGCAGTTACATAATAAGCGATCGTTAATATATAAAGTATCCGAAGAAACATTGGAAGAATTGGAAATTTGTTAATTCAAAGGAAAGGCTCTTTTATTTCGGGACCGTTTTATGGTACACAATATTCGATGAAAGTTATTTGACAGTTTAATGTATTAAAAAGAACAATGATATTTAAGAGAATGTTGCGCAAATTTTTAGGAAAATTTACGACCGCTAAGTTCTCGTAGTGTACACGCATTAACTAAATTACTTCCACTTTAATTTCTCTGTCATAAAGTATCGATTTTGTATTTTTCTTTTATGCCTGGCAATTTCTTTCTAACGTCATCATCTCCAAATCGTATTTGTCAAGTTAAAATCATGGTACATAGCACTAAAATTATTTATTTATTCTCAAACCGGGAGAAACAAAGAGGATTATTGGGAACGTTTTTCTTAGAAATGATAATAGAATCGATTTCATAAGATGCAGAAAGTACACCAGTTAAAGGGAGAATTTTCTTCTTCTCGATTTTCGTCGCCCAGGAAAACAAAGTATCGTCTATTAATTGTTCCATTATCTTCTTCTTTTTCTGGAACAGGATTTAAAATTGAAGTCATGCTCTTAAAATGATTTAAGCGTCGTTTTAAAAATGTCCTCGTATCACGTAGCTCGTTTCTCGCCCCGAAGTTACAAGACACATTTGTGAATTCTAAATTCGGAAATATTTTACGCAAGCGACGTTACTCCTTAAGTGCCCGTTTTCTTGCAACTTAGTTTTTAGTGCCGTGCAATATCACCCCTGAATATTTCAATACATTTCAGAAACAGGCTCTGCCTACTAGGAAAAAAAAAAGGAACGCTCGATACACGTAAGTGAAATATTCCAACCATATTTACAATATTTAAGAAATAAAACAATTATTATCCACCGATGTTCCACCTTTTGAATTCTATTAATAAAAATACGAATTTACATAA